ATGAATATTATGACAGCGGACGCAGGACTAGATACGTTCCACAAGGTTTCTCTGTCGCTCCAATCAAGTTACGAAAATGAGTTCAAATCAACAGTCTACAGCTAAAGGAGACTGGGACAAAACAAAAGGCCTACCATCTTGGTCTTCATATCTATGAGAATGTATCAAGTCCACTGTCAGATGCTGGGAATCAAGACAACTACTATGGCAGACGACTTCGGACACGGTGCGTTCTACATAGTCTCCCTAAACACAAGACCAAGTGGTGACAAGGAGGTCAACCCACTTCTATAAGTCGAAAGGAGACTGCGACCATACCCGAGGCCACAACATCTTGGTCTTCACATCTTCATATCTATTGCCTACAAAAACATTTGAAATATATCCCTTCGCCAAAGGTTCTGCGGAAACGGTTGTGCTATCACTCTCCTTTATGTCCTGGCCCATCTATTTACTCCGTACCTTTTTATCACAATCTCGACTTATTGCAACTTATGACTTGTTTACATTCCATTCCTCAAAAGGTGTGTCGTTTTTAGCAAGTTTAGTGTGGCGTCATCACGCCTGACGCCGTGCAAAAAGGATCAGGAGGGAGTCGTTAACATAGATAATCAACTTGGCAATCGCATTCACATTCAATGGGAACATATATGAACAAATATTTGGAATTTCCATAGGATGGCCACTCTCACCTCCTTTTGCAAACGTATGCATGGACAAATTATAAAAGGACTTCAAGACGTCACCGCTGCAAGTAGCGGTGTCCATGCTGTACCTGAACGATTACACCGCACTTTGGCCACATGTAAAAGAAAAACTATAAGATTTTTTGGCGTTCATAAACCAGATTGATGAAAAAATCAAATTTACGATGGAAGTAAAGGTGAGCTCGTACCTTTCCTGGATGTTGAAGTGATTCGCTCTAATGGGACGCTCAAGATGAAATTGTTCAAAAAGAAGTCATGTGCTGGAATAACACTCAACATCCAATCCCACCACAACTATCGGCAAAAAGAGAAGAATAATGAGGACCATGATGATCAGCAGCCTATGATTAACGGAAGTGGAATTTTAGGAGGAAGAATTGAACAAATAGATTAGGATATTCCTCGGAAACGAATACTCGATAGAAGTAGTACAAAGGAACATACTGGCCATTAAAAGCCGATGGCAGAACGGGAACTAAGAAAAAACAGTATGGATGGAGAGACTGACAAAAGTGGATAGGTTTACCTTCCTGTGAACAAACTTAAAACCCATTGCCAATATAAAAAAGGAATGTTCGAAGAAAAAAACAACCTTCTTCACAAGTCTATCAGCGCAACATGAGAAAGTGGACATATTGGATTGCATGGCATGTGGCGCCTGCAAGCACAAATATAATGTCGAAACATGGAGAAAAATCAGCATACGAATCAAAGAATATTAAAGGCTTTTCAGGAAAATGTAAACCGAGAGATCAGAATTGGCGGAACACATCGAACAGATTGAACACGAGATCAAATGGAAAGCAACTTAAAGAAGGGTCTCATAGGGTTAGAACACAAGGAAACGGAAGATTATGGAGGCCATTGGCATTCTTGGAGAAAAAAATATAATGAACAGAAGGCAGAAATAGCGATAACTTTGCCTTTTGCTCAATCAAACTCGGATAAAACAGGATATGTCAAGACCAGCAAAAAGGAAGCGCCTGGACCAAGGGCCTATCGATAGTCAGAACGGGAATTGCGAGGAGGAAGGTAGTGGAGAAATGTCTGAAATCGAGCGAAGAAGTTTTCAGTAAGTGAAGCCTGCTCGAAGAACTTTTTAGGCCTAGTGGTCACTTGTCTAGGGAACGGATAAGCACAACCAACACAGAAAGTCGGCCTTATGGCCAAAATGTAAAAGAAATCCATTCGAAATGCGACTAGAAATAGGCGCCCACAGTTCACTCAGGTTACTCGGGTTTAATCAAGGAGACGACCCATGAAAGCAATGCATAATTTTGCAAATATGGGGATCAGAGCATAGGTGCGCAGTGTACGTGCTTCTAAGGGCTTGAGAAATAGCGTATGGAATAAAACGTATATTGAGACTGGAACCGAATGAAACCGGTCCACAAGAAAGATAAGAAACGGATCTACAAGAACATGAGGAAGAACCGGATTGGAGGCCAGAGTCGGATTAGTCGATTGAAAGAGACGGGAGCAAGATGAACAGCAGGTGTGATGAGATCACACAAAACTTTCCAAAAATAGCAAAATTTTGACGGGTGGAATGTAAACAATTCAGAAGTTGTAATATGGCAGGAGTGTGGTAAGAGGATGAGTAGATATATAGGCCAGGAAATAACGAGAAGTGATAGCACAACTAATTTTAGCTTGGTGCTGAGAATGGCAAGACACACTGAGGATGCCGACTACGATGCTGGCAAACGTCTGAGAATGTACCAAGTCCACAGTCTTACGCTAGGAATTATGATAACTACTATAGCTGAAGACTTCCGACAAGGTGCGTCCAACTAAGTCGCCCTGACAACAAGATCAAGTTTCCAAAACCCACTTTGTCAACCCACTTCTAAATTCTGAATGATTAACCTACTCACCGACTTGTGAATGATAGTGTTGTATTTCTTCCCAGATTAATTGTTTAAGCATTTCCTTCGGTAGATCATCTGACTCGTGAGAAAAGGGATGTGAGGCTACAGGCTGAATGGATAATAAAAGAAAAATATTAAAGGAATAGCTTGCAAAAATAAATATAGAGGGATTCAAAAGTAAAAAATAACAATTAATCCTATTTCGAGTGATTATGTTTAAACGGTATATTAGAACTTATTTATATGGATATAAAGTCTTGATTATATAGTAAACGAATTAATAAACCAAGCTTATTGATGTAAAATAGTTAGATTCTCCTTTAGAGGTATGTGAATTTAGTGCCATAAATAGTAACTGCTGGAAAATTAAAGATTTATCGATATCTTGTAAAAGCCACGAAAATAAAATTGGAGTGAATTTGAGTAAACGATTAAGATAAAGAAGGATGGTTACCCTATGATGAATATTTACCTCATCCGTTGGATCATAATATTGGCCAAGGTAAGGATGCTCAAGTGCTTTTTCAACGGTTATTCGGCGTGTTGGAATGAAGCATAGCAACCGATCAAGCAAGTCAAGGGCTGACAAATATCGATTAGATAAGATAAAAAAAAGATAAAAATCAATTATTTGTGGATGAAATAAGTCAATAAGCTAAAAATAATAAACAAACACGAAGCATCTTTTTGATTCAATAAAAATCCAAGGCCAGGACCAAAAATTTCGAATTAATCTGTAAAAAACTGACTACCTACACTATTGTAATAGATCTATATGGAAAAAAATTAAAACACTTAAAAAAAAGTGAGGGTGAGGTATAGGAACTTAATTTGTTTGCTAATAATAAGTAAATGTGAAATAATGAATTTTTCAGAATAAATCAAGTGACAAGACAATTTAGCAAATAAAAATTATTCTATTATTAATCGAAGGTATGAAGACCAAGATGTGTGGCCTTTTGTGTGGTTGCAGTCTTCTTTCGTTGTATATAAGTTGTTTGACCTTGTTTTCACAACTTGGTCATATTAATAGGAAAACTTATAGATACCACAATTGTTTAAAAGTCAATTGGTCAAAGGATCGGCTTCTTTTGTTTCTTTGTCAAGTTGTATTTTGGTGCTAAGCCTGGCAATGCTTACTGACGATTCCGGCGAAACGTCTGCGAATGTACCACGTCCATGGTCTGACTCTGGAAACTATCATACTATAATTAAACTTGAAATTGT